ACCTTCCCTTTCTCCGTCTTCTCTGTCCTCAACACGCTCAATCTAATCAAAGTATCCTCTGCCCCTGTCGCAATTAGCTTATTTCCACCGTCCACAGGGGCAGGCGAGATTGCAAGAGCTTTAATTTCCCTTCCATGCCCTCCTATTTGTAGTAAAGCCCTCCTTGCCCTCTTCGCTCTGAGGACATACATCCTCCCCGCTTGCGTCCAGGTAAGCCAGCCCACCCCCTCTCCCTCCCTTGTTGGATGGAATACCCAGCTTCGGTGCCCACCCCCGCACTCTTCAGAGAGGACCTCATATCCTCTTGTCTCGTTCCAGACAAAGAACGATTTGCCCCTAAATCCGTAAACCAGGAGATCTCCTATGCTACCAGCATCACCCCCGCTAGGAATGCGATGATATGCCCCCTCAATAGACCCCCCATTCAATAATTTCTTGATATGTAATTTCGTGAGCGTGATCTGGGAGGTACTCGTCTTGGATCCCGCATCCGGTGTAAGCAAAACATCCAAAATCGCATAAACCCCATTCCGGCCGGTAGTTAGAATTCTAGAGCTCCTCGTCAACCCAGTACTCGCCGGGGTCGGCGCAAACGCCGGTGTCCTAGGATCTCCACCTTCCTGTTGCTGTCTTGCAACCCCACTTGCTTGTGCGGGATACGCCAAAATCTCGGTAATTGCGTCTTTATCACACCAACCCTTCCAGCTCTCGAGCGGGTTGAGCATGACGTCTGTGTCAACTCCGCTCCAGACATCAAAGACGCTAAGCACACCGGAACGAGAGCCGAGGAAAAGGAGGCCTTGGGCGAAGTCTAGATGGTAGGATGTCACAGAGTGGAAGTTTGGTGGGGGGCAGAGGATAATGGTCTTGGTGCGGGGAGGTGGATTTGGAGAGTTGCGGATCGATGGAGAGGAGACGCGGGGATCGGGAAAGAGGTGAAGGCGAATTTCGGGGGCGAGAAGGGAGGTTGTGAGGAGATAGAATAGGTCTATTGGGAGGCTAGTTAAATTCAGGGTATTTAAAGCACTCAAAAGTGGATGATGCTTACCATCGTGCCTCCCACAGAACATAATTCCTGGGTTACCATCCCCAGCCTGCCACCACCTACCCTTTTTTCCCTTTAAATCGTACCCCTCTTCATCGTCTCCATCACCAAAATCATCCAAATCAATAATCCCAACCATCCCAGCCCTATCTTGTGCCGCCACCAGCCCCGCGCCTTGCCACACCGCAACTGAGGATACACCACCAAGGTTAACCCATTGCCCCAGGGTCCGCCACCCCCCTGCTGTAGGAGTAGATTTGCGACCGGGAGATTCGCTAGTGGGAAAAGTGTACATTGCTAGATAACCCTTACTCGTACACACGATATATCGATTACTATCCACCACAGCATAGTTGCGGAATTGATGTGCTGATGTTTTAGGTTTCCCCCCAGTGCTTTCAGTTTTCTCTAGTGAGGCCCTTGCCCGGGTGATGTTCAGCCCAGCAAAATTGCGCTCAATTGCTTCCAACTCCATTTCTACATTTTCATTTCCAGGGGCATCCAGTTCCCATTCATACCGCTCCTCATCGGGGTCTCCATCTCCGGTGTCATAGCTGATTATTGCTATACGCCCGTCATGTCCTCCTGTAGCCAGTAGCTTGTGATTTTCAGCGATTGCAAGTGCAAAAACATTCTTTCCACTATGTAGTAACGTAGAGCTCAGACACAATAGCTCGACCACCGACTGCGTATTTTGTGGCTTCAGAGCAGCTGTTAAAGGCATTAAGTCAGCGTTATAGCCCCATATCTTTGAGGTGAGATCCTCGGAGGTAGTGACGATATTAATCATAGGATGTATTGAGGATGATGATGAGGACAATTTCTGTAAAAATCTGCAATTCCAGATTCTAGCCTGGTGTCCCCATCCAATCGCAACACAATCACTCTTTGGGCCCTCCTTGCACTTCGCATCTTCCACAGATGTAAATCCAGTTCCTCTCAATTCATCAACACCTAATTCATCCCAAGCCAGCGACTCGGCTAGCTTCCCATCCACCTCTCCATCCTCATCAGTCTGGTCAACTCGAGAGATATCCCATACTCGAACTGTACGATCATCGCTACAGCTCACCAAATACCTCTTACGATCTCCAGAATCATACCTTGGTGAAATATCAACCCCAAAAATTGACCCTTCATGTCCCTTGAGCCTGTACTGCAACTCTACAGCCCTGTTTCTATTCCGTGGACGGCGTTTTGGGGTCCCTGCCCGGGATCCCAGCACCGTGCTTTTTGTTAGCTCCTCCCAGCCCTCCCCCTCCGAATCACTTGCCAACTCGGTCCATGTCTCAGAGTCGGCAGAGTGTGTCCTGCTATGCGCGCCTGGTGGAGGTTCTAACACTGGTGGTAAAGGTGGATCAATCGGTGCACTCCATACCAAAATTTCCCCAAACACTGTCCCTGCAGCTACAACTACACTTCCACCCTCCCCACTCTCACTAGGAACATAAACCCCAGTGGCAGAGTATAAAATGCATCTCTCGCCCATATCCTTCTCGCTAACCCATTTTCTTGCATCTGGGTCGTACAATAGTAGCAGATTATGGCTAGTGACAACTCCCACCAGGGAACCTCCAAGACGGGAGATGAAAAATGCATGGTGAACATAATCCTTCACCGGCGTCTCCTTCAATACCTGTGCATCTGTATTCAATTCCATCGTCGAGCTAGGTGTAACTGTAGGAGGAAGATTCGCCAAGGACGCTGAAGCTGAAGTCGTTGGAGAGTCTTCAATCAGTTCTTGCAGCGTAGCAACAACTATTCTGTGTCCGCCCCAAAAAACAATTCGCCTATTCCCCCCTTCGACCTCAGCTTCCTCTTCGTCTCCATCTTTCGGTGAGGCCGGAGCTGGTGATGATGAGAACACAGGGTCCTCAAAAGCTATTCCTCGAATGGCTTCACGGGAGAATATCCGTCGTGTATGGAGTAATTGGGCAGTGGATGGAGAGTAAAATTTACATATAGGTCCTTCTCCGGAAAGGAGTAGTGATTCGGAGATGTGTGTGCTTGGTAGGAAGGAAAGAGAAGTGATTGGGAGGGCCGACGCAATTTGCTGGGTTCAAATGTTAGAACAAAGAGGCTAGCTCTATGAATGAAGAAGGGGGAATACCTGGAGCTTGGCGGAGCTTTCGGTGGGAGTGGGAGTGGGAGCAGCGGACATTGTGTAGCAGTCTGTGCTTGCAATTCCTAGCTTCTCTTTGACCTTTGAAGCCCACAAAATCCAGATTCTCTGACCGGATATACTCCTCGAGGATGTTGTCGTCCGGGGCGATATCGAGGATAAAGCGGTTGGAGTTATCGAAATCCGATAACCTATAAGCCTTTACTTGGCGGTGGGTCAGTAGCGCTAGCTGTCTTCAGTAGTATGTTTTGTAAATATCGAAGTGAGTACGAGTGCATATGGAGCAGGGCTTGGAGCGCTTCAGGATTGGAGGATGGTTGAATCTGTGAATATATATATGTCTATCAATGTTTCCAATAAGGCCAGGCTGTCCAAGTGTAAGATTGCTAGTCCCTCCATGATGCAGCTACACACTAATCTGGGAGAACATCATAAATTACCTGAGCATGACTTACTTGGCAGCATCAAGAAATCTCGAATTCGTCTGCCGTTGCCTAAGTAGTCTGGCTACCTACATTAATCTCACCGGGCTCGGAAGAGTTGCAGTATAATGCGCATGCCTCATGCCTAGCCTCATGCATCACTTGATGTTCCATGCTTTCATTCTTACCCGAAGCCATAACTTACCTTTTTAAAGATGTGCCACGTGATCAATACTCTCATTAAACGTCCCTTTATATCATTCAGAGCTGCAGGTTGAAGTCAACATGGACGCACTCTAAGGCTCGAGTTGATCTGGCTGACAGGCTCTTCGTTACTCTGGGACCGAGTCCAACTCTTCTAGCCTTTTACTTTAGCTATGAGACTCCAGGTCCCACTGAAAGTATTACGATTTGGCACCACCCGGTGGGGGTCAGTTCTTGTTACTGCTTTTCCGTAGGCTGCTTTCGGAAGGCCTCGCATGCTGGTTGATCGCGTGATGCATTCGCAAATATATAGTGAATATATATATCCATGGTACCGCTACGTTGTGCGCTTTCTAATACCGAGTCCTTTTTCTCCCAGCCAGACTACTTATCTCCTATCTAAACATTTATCTGCACATATAGCATAGAGTAACCACGATCACGCGGAGGGCCTAAAGTAATAAAGGTGGTGTGTGAAGCCTCCGCCTCAACAAAGTGTTCGCAGTCGAGCCCCCTTCCAATCCTATCCTCATGAGATAGATGTACCCTCCTTGTGCCAGAACAGTGATCGACACTGGCATCCATCTATCGGATACGAGCAAAAGCTTATCAGTGTGCATTATCGATTGATCCTATGTCTAACATAAATTGCTTACGTTCAGGCCATAACCTAGTACCACCCGTCCATGAGCCGAGTGCGCTAGGTCAACATATCAACCTAATATCAACCTACCTGCTATCTTTATGTAGTTCCTGTGCACAAACCTACCATAATGAAGGTTCCAGGCTCGTGGGGAAAGTGAAGCGGGGCTCAATGTGGGGACAGGAGCACCACAGTAGTAACGAGCCTACCCGAACGCTACTAATTGCTCATACTATACAAAGGAGACTACTCACGGTTCTTCATGCCCCTTACGGGTTTGCGGGATTACATGCTATGCTGTGGAGGGTGTTGTGCCAACCAGACTAATACTTTGCATAAACCGACATTGCCAATATAGTTCAGGGTAACTGCCACAGCTGTGCACATTAAGTTAGTAGCTAACACACAATGTTACGCAGTGTAAACAGACTATGTCTACGAGACAGCTAAGTACTTGTATAGTAGCTACATTCTCTTATCTCATGAGGCTTTTCTACGCCGCAGTAATGTGCGGGAATGGTGCTAAGTGAAGGTATTAACGCTCGCACTTACGCACAAGAAACCGGCCGGGTGGTCTAATTGGTAAAGAGACTTGCTGGATAAGACTATATGCCCAGTATATCTGGCACTACGGGATGAGGCAGGTGATCTGGGTTCGAGTCCCAGCTTGGCCATTATCTTTTTGCTTCGTCACGTCTTAAGTTTTTGCACACTAGTACATACTATAGGCTAGAACAGTAGTAGAGGATATCGCATGTTTCCTAGAAGTGCGATACTACCTAATCTGGTTGCATGACCCCTCCGTAGGAGGGATGCTACCTTATGGAAGAATTAATACAAGAAAATTTTTGTCACGAGAGTTAGTGTCCCTGAATGAAAAGCATAGCGGGTCCTGCTATTTTCCATATGGCAATCGGAATGGCATCCAGGATCTCGTTGATACATCCGGCAGTTCCACAGTAGGTAGCTAGCCTCTACAATGTGTTGGTGAGTTCCTTATGAAGGAGAATGGAGGGTCTTCCATTCCTTCCATATCCCCACAGCAACTTCAAGGGGAGGCGGCAAATTCCTAAAGAAGGTTACTTAACCCAGTCAAAGCCTATTCCAAGTGAATTCATTTGGTGGCCGTGGCATGGGCTGTAGATACTTTCTTGTATTCATTCCTTCCATCGAGTGGTGATAATGCACTTCTACTTGGAGGCCAACTGAAGCCTCTGGAAGGGAAACCATGCGGGACTCCTCGTATTGCATCCTCTATTACTGTATAACCTCTTACTTATACTACATCAATTTGGCGGCCCTAGGGATATGTTTTATGAAGGTTTTGAGCTTGCTTCAAGATCCAAACGTACCGCCCTTGTCTACACAAACTGGGCAAAATCATATACAATACCCCGGCAAAAGTATTCGCGAGGCTCCCCATATATTTTTGCATGGGGGTCGCGAATACTTTCGCCGGGGTACTGTACATAGAGGCTTTGGGGTTCAGGTTCATGATCTGAACTCTGGTCTAGTCTTGTGACCATATCTTCTGGGTACTTATAAGTGAGCACTAGTCTGGTTAGTGAGCACTACTGGTTTGCATTAAGTCACTTCTCTTTTCTCAAAGATGACACAAGCATAGTCTGGTTGGTACAAACATAAACACCAGTACTTGTATGGTAGCTACATCCTCTTATCTCTTCCGAGCCTTTTCTACGCCGGCCTGGGAGAGGAGCTAACTGAAGGTACTAACGCTCGCTCTTACGCACCAAAAAACGGCCGGGTGGTCTAATTGGTAAGAGACTTGCTAGATAAGACTATATGCCCAGTATAACTGGCACTACGGGATGAGGCAGGTGATCTGGGTTCGAGTCCCAGCTTGGCCATTATCTTTTTGCTTCATCACGTCTTAAGTTTTTGCACACTAGTACATACTATAGTATAGGCTCGGTGCAATACGAAGGGTCTCCCATGTTTTCCTATGGAAAGAATTAATACAAGAAAAGTATACTTGTCACGAGGTTAGTGACCCCGAAATCATGGGAATGAGCATAGCCGGTCCTGCTATTTTCCGTAAGGCAATTGGAATGGCATTCAGGGTCTGGCAAGTGCATCTAATATTTCCTCAAAAGCCTTAGCATAAAGGTTTCTTAATACATCCTGCAGTTCCACAGGAGGTAGCTGACCCCTACAAATGTGTTAGTGTTTGAGAACGGGGGGTCTTCCATATCCCCACAGCCATGACCCCAACTTTCTGAGCTGTTCAAGGGGAGATGGACTGTTTCCTAAGACTTCGTGAATTCCCAGAGCGGAGTTCATAAAGAAGGTTACTTAAACAAGTCAAAGTCTATTCCAAGTGAATTCATTGGGTGGCCATGGCACGAGCTGTAGATACTTTCTTGTATTCATTCCTTCCATCAGGTGGTGGTAACGCACTTCTACTTGGAGGCCAACTGAAGTCTCTGGAAGGGAAACCATGCGGGACTCTTCGTATTGCACCCTCTATTGCTACTTATACTACATCAATTTGGCGACCCTAGGGATATTTTTTATGAAGGTTTCGAGCTTGCTTCAAGCCCAAACGTACCGCCCTTGTCTGCACAACTTCGCAAAATCATATAAGTACATAGAGGCTTTGGGGTTCAGGTTCATGGGACTATGTAGTCTTGTGACCATATAATTGAGCACTACTGGTTCGTATTAAGACACTTCTTTTTTCACACAAGCTAGTCTGGTCATAGGAGGGGCTTGTGCCAACCAGATTAGACACAAGCACCAGGACTTCTATAGTAGCTACATCCCCTTATCACTTTCGAGCCATATCTACACCGTGAAAAAGGAGCTAATTGAAGGTACTAACGCTCGCACACTTACGCACAAGAAACTGGCCGGGTGGTCTAATTGGTAAGAGACTTGCTAGATAAGACTATATGCCAGTATAATTGGCACTACGGGATGAGGCAGGTGATCTGGGTTCGACTCCCAGCTCGGCCATAGTATCTTTTTGGTTCTTCACGCCTTATGTTTTTGGACACTAGTACAGCTCCCACAACAGTGAGCGTCCACACTTTTTTTTTTTTTTTTTTAGAAAAAAAAATACACATTACTCATATGCGGGGACGGACCATGATAAGCCACCCGGAAACCCGGGTCGATTCAAGACAGGGCAAGTAAATCTGTGGGTCCAGGCAAGCCAGGCTGACTAGAGGGCAACTATTTTGTCTGACATCGTAAATCAGGTCCTGAATGCACCAACTTAGGTAATTTTGACTGCTCAAGCAAGGTGGCAATAGATCTGTTCTCATACTTAGGACCATGGATCATGACTACCCAGCTGTAATTTTTCTCTAAAGAAAAAAAAAAAAGAAAAAAAAACAGTACACTCGTATTCGGCACCTTAAAGGGGGCCATGGCGAGTCACCCGGAATGCCCCTGATGGATTCAAGGGACAGAAAAGTTATTTAGCCAGCCCTACGCGGAGATGAAAATGCAGAAGGTGAGGGATTCGTTAGTGATAAGTCCGGCTCCGCCAGCTCCCAGGCCATCGTCCAATACCAAATACAGATTAGGAGAATGCCCGTGTCCCACTGTCGTACTCCCAATACTACGTGGTTGAGAAGATACCGCGCCGATCAACACTCTCCTCCTGACTTAATGTTGGCGGCAGTCGGTAATATGATAGCCATCCTCAGATGTCTTCATTGAGACTACTTTCAAGACCACGTACCTACAAATTTGAAAGTCCTTTGCGGATTACTATGGTACCTACCTACTAGGGAAGTACTTATAGTACTTCATGGGCATCAGAGTGTTCCTCATGGGGAAGAAAGATAACTACTATAACATTAACCTATCTACTCTACAGTACCTCGCATCGATGCATCTACCCGCAATAGACTACTATAAGTGAAGAACAGGGCATAAAGGGTAAAGACATGGGCATGAGTGAAGGAGTTGCAAGTTGACCGTAACAAACTATGCTCGCTAGGTTCAAACGGAAAGTATGCATCGATACTGGCAGAAATCGATACGACGATGGGAAAGAAACGCAAGGGGACTGTGACTAGGCTTGACTGCCATAGCCTATACAAGCTTCCTTCTCTTGGAGGCCGACGTACTAGCTGCCCTGTCCCTCATCCTAATTCGGATCCTCCTATTTGGTGCATACACTTCCTCTTCGTCCTCCTCCTCGTCATCATCACCTGTAGTAGTGCCGTGGTTCCTTACATCAAATTGTTCCTCACCTTCATCATCTTCATTGGTCTCATCTTCATCGTCATCCACCTCTTCCTCTTCGTCCTCCTCATCATTACTCGCCTCAATTTCCCACCCAGTATTGCCATGATTTCTTGCAGGAGAAGGCCCCAAAGGCACTAAGCCCCAAGCACGTGTTCTTTCACGGCCACGCACGAGAGGTTCATCATCACTATCTTCCTCGTCTTCACTTCCTCGAACGCGACTTCCTAGGCGACTTCTATCATCTCCACCTGGGGTATCACTGGCAGCGTCTGTTATACTTGGAGTATTTGTCCCTGTATTCAGCGTGTTGAAGCTTCCTCTTGTCGTGCTACGTGCTCGGCTGTGGCTTCCAACCTGGAAGGGAAGAGTGGTAGTAAGGGCGCTTGACGCGGCCCCGTTGACGCTGGATTCCTGGAGGAGCTTCTTCATAGATGTCCTCGCAGTATGACCAGTATCCCAATTCCCTCTATTTGTGATTCTGTTCTTTTTCGGTGCCTTTTCTCCTAATGCCCGCGACCCTGGCTGAAAGACAAAGTCAGGCTCTTGAGCAATGAATTGTGATGATTTGTTGTTGTAACTGCAGAAATATGCTATATTAACATAGTTATCTTTGGATTGTAGAATAACAGTTGTGATACTTACCCGTAGTCGAAATACAACTCTTCTCCAGCCACGAGGTCTCTTTTAGCGAACATTCCAATTCTATGTGTACAATTGGTGAATAGTACTCTTGCAAAGCAATTCGGCTTCTTGTAATGATTGACAAAACGAAATTTGTTCCCAGCCCTCGTTGCATCGATCACTTGAGCTATATCAAATTTGTGGAATTAGTCCGGTATCACAAAATAAATGGGTAGGATCATACACACTCTTATTCAATGTGAACAAGAACGACACACCCCTCCTGTCATAAAGCTTTCCGCGTCTCTCAGCTTCATCATTACTAATGATTTCGCCTTTGTACTCTCCCAAAAAGCCATCTTTCTTGACATTTTCTCCAATAAATAGCCCTAGACCACTCACACCACTAACACCCAAAAGCGTCCGTTTAGGAATATCTCGCTGGATAACGACGTTTTGACAGCACTCTTTTGCGAGCTCCAGGTCATACCTGTTGGTTGGGCTCAGTGTTTCTGCAGCTCCACACCCACTGCAGAGATCAGGATCACATTCGCGATTCCATCTGGCACATGGGCAAGCCGTCGTTATGGAGCACGCCTTGCCACTGGCAATACATTTACACCCTCTCCACTTTCGTGGACAGTCTGCATCGCACATGCATGTTTTCTCACACATTACCTTGTCTTTTACACAAGGGCATTCGGAATTGCATGGACCTGTGTGCAAACATGGCTTGAAGTAGCTCCTTTCATTCGAGTTTAGAGTCTTGTGGCAGTCGGCAGGATAATCCCCGTAATTTCCTTTGACATTTGGCCGTTTGCGCTTGAGTGGT